AAATAGTTATAAGTTGGAGTTGACCTAATGACGCAAAATTATAATAGAAGCTGGAAAATAAACATCCCAGGAGAAGAAGGTGGATACTGTTCAAAAAGTCAAATGGATTCAGAGGCAGAAGTTTATAACACTTGCAATTATATAGAACATCTTATGTGTCAATCTTAACAAGTGATCCCAAGTTTACTTTTGTACAGGAAATATGATTGAGTCAAAATTCTAGAAATGCCAACTTTGGAGGAAGCACTGCTTTAAAGAAATAAGCCACCTAATTAACAAGCCAGTTAGCAGGAATACTTTATGTAATCCGCTTGGAATCAAAGGAACCCAAGCAGCTTTAAACTAAGTTTAGCTGGTTTTCAGATCAAGCTGATAGTAGTAGCTAAAGCAAATGGATTTTGGGAAGTTAATGCCTATTGTGCACATAGATTCTTTTAAAGTTTTAAAGAGCTTTCCCAAACTCCTCAAAGAAAAGATTCAGGGAACCCAAATATTGCACAACTAAGTTAATTGTGAAAAGATTTTCCGGCATTCTACAACCAATTTTAGTGCCTATCTCTGCCTGATTCTTCAATCAGTTGGGAATAGCCCAGGACTGTGGAAATCCTAGCCCTCCAGATGTGTTTGGGTTCAACTCTCAGAAGTCCCAGCCACCATGGCTAGTGGTACAGAATTATGGGAGTTGTATTCTTCTGGAGGGCTAAACGTCCCCCAACCCTATTGTAGACAGGTACCTGAAATATAAGTGTAAATTATGGGTGCACCTATACTGTAAAATTAATTCAGTTTGACACCACTTTAATTCTCATGGTTCAATATTATAGTATCCTATGAGTAGTAGTTTGGTGAGGCACTAAGCCTTTGACTGAGAAGTTTAAAGGCTTTATAAAACTGTAACTCCCACAATACCATTGAATTGAGCAATGTCAGTTAATGTAGTGTTAAAACGGTGTTAATTCTACAGTTGCTCTATAAGAGGTGTATATTCTCAGATCCTCCATCAGGCTCCATCCTTGGGGTCTCTCCCCTTAACCGCATTTACAGGGTTCTTGTGAGGATAAAAGGGTAAGATAAAGAACAGATGTGATTCAGTGATTCACATACACATTCTTCCCCTCCAGATACAAATACGTTGTTTGTGCTCCTCTTTGGAAAAATAGAAATTTGCAATTGAATCATGCTTCAGTTACAGCAGCTAGCAATGGAAACAGCTTCCAGGCATGGCTCAGCTTCCAATAAGTTCAGTTTCAATTCCACTTCCAATTCCGATTCTAACTCAAGCCATCGATCTTGATGCAGAACTATTTTGGAGAAGCTTTGGTGTGGGGGAGTGCTATTCAGTGCATTGTGGCAATAGGAAAGGATTGGACTCCAGATCTCCCACACTGCCAACTTGAAACTAGTGGAATCAAGAGACTGAACTGTCTTCTCATAGAGAGACCCTGCCTGTGGCTCAGATTCAGCTCTCAGACCAAGTTCACATTCTCTTTCTTTATACCCTTAATTCATTTCCAGTTCCCACCAAACTGTGGCCAAGTCCTTTTCCTCTTCTCCCAGCAGATAATTCATACAAGATGTTGACCAAGATCTTCCGCTTTCATCCTTGCGACGAAGAACAAAGCACTCTTACTAAAACTAAGTTGGAGCATCTGAGGCCTCTTCCACACAGCTGAATAAAATCCCACATTATCTGCTTTGAACTGGAATAAATGGCAGTGTGGACTCAGATAACCCAGTTCAAAGCAGATATTGCGGGATTTTCTGCCTTGATATAGGGCTGTGTGGAAGGGCCCTGAGAGTGCACAAAGGGTTACCTATTCCCTGGTCATGGGCTTCCGGATACAATAGCAGAGTATCTCAAAGGTGAGGTACTTATGCTCCCTTCAAATGTTACTGACTTTCCTTATCTTCAGCTAGCATATAAAGTGATTAGTGATGGTGGGGGGTTTTGCAACCTATGAAAAGATCCATGCTCCCAATGCCAGTATAACACCAGGGGGAAGGAATACAAAGCAATACTTACTATGGGAAGGATAAGCTATAATAAAATCACACATGCCAACATGAAATAACAATGACCTCCACGTAACCTTTCCAGAATACTACTGTATAAACTCGAATATTGACCCGAATATAAGCCGAGGCATCTAATTTTACCACAAAAAAACTGGGGAAACGTATTGACTCGAGTATAAGCCGAGGGTGGGAAATGCAGCAGCTACTGGTAAATTTCAAAATAAAAATAGATACCAATAAAACTACATTAAGTGAGGCATCAGTAGGATCAATGTTTTTGAATATTTACATAAAACTGTAATTTAAGATAAGACTGTCCAACTCTGATTAAACCATTGTTCTAACCTTCTTCAATGTAAATGTGTTTACGTATCCTTCCAATAACAATAATAAAGAGAGTAAAATAATAAATGTATAATAATAATAGAGTAAAATACTGGAAATGAAATGACATTGATAATAGAGTAAAATAATAAATGTAAAAAAAACAATAATAAAGTTAAATTATAAATGTACTACTACTACTAATAATAATAATAATAAAGTAAAATAATAAATAACCTTGACTCACGTATAAGCTGAGGGGGGCTTTTTCAGCCTAAAAAATAGGCTGAAAATCTAGGCTTATACTTGAGTAAATACAGTAATTTAAAAAGTTAGTAAAAGTAGAAGTGGACTGTCTCTTATTTCTGACACAGATGAGTAAACTGTATAAAATTTTTGGAACACTGTTGTATAAAAAAAAACAATAGTCTAGAGCACTTTGAAGACTGCCATACTTACTATGGTGTGCTTTTTCATAATTTGGAGACCACTTCATTCAATGCATGAATAGTTTTGGTATATTACTTTTTACCTACTTACAATTAATGGCAGAGAAAATATAAAGAGCAACTAGGAGAAAATTGAATCCAGACCATACAGTTTATATTTCCCTTCAACCTAACTTTATAATCCCTTACCCTTTTTTCCAAACCCCAAGATGACCTGTGTGTATTCAGGTGATTCACCAAACACTGTTATCATCCCAGTCAACAAAATCTTTGTTGTTATTGTGTGCCTTCAAGTTGTTTTCAGCTTTGGGTAACCTTAAGCCAAACCTATCAGAGTTTCTTAGCAAAATTTACTATATTCTGAAGCCGAGAGAGTGTGATTTACCGAAGGTCACCCAGAAGATTTTCATGGCTGAGCAGGTATCTGAACCTTGTCCTCCTGAGTTGTACTCTAGCACTCAAACCATTAGACCACGCTAGCGCACAAAATCTTACACCACAGTACTTTCCTCAATGCTTAACTTGCCATAAGACTCTAGACTTAAAGGGCTAGCCCCTGGAGTTGCATTACTAAAGGCAGAGGAGGGAAACTATCAAATCATATTATAATAGGCTAAAACGCTTGAACATGGAAGACAACTGGGACAGCTGAAAAAGCACTTATCTCCTTCACTTCATTTTGACCTGGTCCCATGCTGGCACCAAAGCTTTCAAAACAAAATGGGAAAAATGTGAGACTTATGCCATACTCACACAAGTATTGCACAGCTTTTCAAAACTGCCTTAATTTTTCCCAAATAATATGGTAGTTAGCCCCATATATTGTATACATACACACACACCCTAATTAAGTTATAATAATGCTGTGTTTACTTGGTTTTACTATTTTTTAGTTATGCAGGTGCTAGTCCATGCAGTATTTTATGGAGTATTTTAAGGATGTATCTCGCCATTGATAAATGTAGCATTTTAATGATTTATATAGAATTGTAATGGTGTATTTTATATTGTATTTAATAATCTGGTTTTAATGTATTAATTTGTTTGCCTTATATGTGAAAGACCTATGGTCTAAGTTAAGGGTCCTCAAACTTTTTAAACAGAGGGCCAGGTCACAGTCCCTCAAAACTGTTGGAGGGCCAGATTATAATTTGAAAAAAAACTGAATTAATTCCTATGCACACTGCACATATCTTATTTTTTTAAGCAAATTTCAACGTGAATATAAGTGATTTTAATGTTTGTATATATTTATGGCATTGAATGTGTGCCGTATATATATGTTGTGCTCCGCCCTGAGTCCCCTGCGGGGTGAGAAGGGCGGAATATAAATGTTTTAAATAAATAGTAAATAAATTATTTGTAGTGCAAAAAACACTTAACAATAATACAATTATTAAAATGAAGAACAATTTTAACAAATATAAACTTACCAGTATTTCAATGGGAAGTGTGGGCCTGCTTTTGGCTGATGAGATAGGATTGTTGTTGTGTGCTTTCAAGTCGTTTCAGACTTAGGTTGACCCTGAGTGAGGGCCGGGTAAATGACCTTGGAGGGCCATATCTGGCCCTCGGGCCTTATTTGAAGACCCCTGGCCTAAGCATTGAATAAACTTGAGCTTGACATAAGGTTTTAAACATAAAAAACCCCAAGATTATGGCAACAAGACTAATTTATAACTGGCAAATAGAGGGAGAAAACGTGGAGGCAGTGACAGAGTTTGTATTTCTAGGCGCAAAGATTATTGCAGATGCAGACTGTAGCCAGGAAATCAGAAGACGTTTTCTTCTTGGGAGATGAGCAGTATGCCAAGGCTTGGCACTTTTTAGAGGAACTGTAGGACTTTACATTTGAAAATGTGCAGGGAAAACAAGACGCAGGCTGACCTCTTGTGGACAACATGAAAAGCATCAGACATAAAGTACAAAAGGTTTTTTAAAACATTAAAACATTAAATAATTACACAATATCTATCAAAACATCATGTAATGCGTAGTTTCAGTGACCTGCAAAGATTACGTATTTCAAGCTACATATGTGTCTGCTTCCCGGGATATGTATAAAGTCACACCAAATCAGTTTAGATTTCTTCACAGAAAAGTTCTACAGATCATTAAAAAGCTGCAACAGTTTTGCAGCTTTTTAATGATCTGTAGAGATATACACTTGATTCCCAAGTCCCAAGTCAAGAAATACACTTGATTCCCAAGTCAGTCTCACAACCTTTGCATTTTGTTTATTTTTGAAATTGGTTTTCAGAAAGTAACATTTATTACATTGGAACTATTTCCAAGAATCATTTTTCAACACTAACTTCGGTTGAGCCAGAATTAGAGATTTGGCTTTCATCTCCCACTTGTTCCATTAAGCATGACAAAAGATTAGGGATTGTGGGTGTTGTAATCCAAAATCCCACCTATACCTTAAATTGAAATATGATGGATGCAGTTACAGTTAAATTAAGACTATACCTTAAATTGAAATATGATGCAGTTAGTTAAATTAAGAAAGGATCATAGAATCATAGAATTGGAAGAGACCTCATGGGCCATCCAGTCCAACCCCCTGCCAAGAAGCAGGAATACTGCATTCAAATCACCCCTGACAGATGGCCATCCAGCCTCTGTTTAAAAGCTTCTAAAGAAGGAGCCTCCACCACACTCCGGGGCAGAGAGTTCCACTGCTGAACGGCTCTCACAGTCAGGAAGTTCTTCCTCATGTTCAGATGGAATCTCCTTTCTTGTAGTTTGAAGCCATTGTTCCGCGTCCAAGTCTCCAGGGAAGCAGAAAACAAGCTTGATCCCTCCTCCCTGTGGCTTCCTCTCACATATTTATACATGGCTATCATACCTCCTCTCAGTTCTCAGATGGAGAACAGCTGAAGACAGCATGGTACAGTCAGTGCTTTGAGCACTGGGACTATGTCTCTAGAGATCGGGGTTCAAACCCCCTACTCAGCCAATAGGTAACCATGGGCAAGTCTCTCTCTCTCAGCGTCAGAAGAAAGCAATGGCAAACCTCTGCTGAACAAATCTTTCCAAGAAAACAGGTTCACCTTAACGTCACCATAGGTTGGAATCACCTTGAGGTCACATAACAGCAACAAGATAAGGAAATCAATTGAAAGGTTTCAACTGAAATGTGTGAGAAAACACATAAGCAATATTGAAAGGGGCTTTTTTTCCATGATGCTACATTAGGGTAAAGGTAATTTTTCCCCTGACATTAAGTCTAGTCGTGTCGGACTGGGCGAGGGGGAGGTGATGCTCATCTCCATTTTTAAGCCGAAGAGCCGGCATTGTCCATAGACATCTCCAAGGTCATGTGGCCAGCATGACTGTATGAAGTGCCAGTACCTTCCCGCCATAGCGGTACCTAGTGTTCTACTTACATTTGCAAGTTTGTGAACTGCTAGGTTGGCAGAAGCTGGGCCTAACAGCAGGAGGTTGCTCCACTCCCTGGATTCAAATCGCCAACCTTTCAGTCACCAAGTTCAGTAGCTCAGCGGTTTAACCCGCTGCGCCACCAGAGGGCCCAATGCCACATTACGTTTCAGAATAGTAATTTTTCAACAGGCACCTTAGGAATACTTAAATAATGCGAGGGTGTCTTCCTTTAAGCACACTCCATATCAGAATCCATACAGAGTTTAACATTTTAGCTCAGAACCCAATAGATACATAAGGCAAAAAGTACTTTGCAGTGCAGGCTTTTCAGGCTGACCCTCTTCAAGCTAATACTTTATTCTAACTCTATAATTCATAGACTCAGATACATCTGTCAATATCTGGGCTGACTCAGTGGCTCCTTTATGTCTAGGCTTCACAGATTCCTCTTGAGTTCAACCCATCATTTTGCCACTGAAATCCTGTATCTTGGGAAAATGAAACTTCTCTCATAGCATTAGTTTTAACCAGTGGTCTTGTGATGGAAGTGTGTTCCCAGAATTTAAGAATTTATTTTTCCAACTAAAACTCTCAGAATGCATGGCCAAAAGCTTATAGGAGTATAAAAGTGTCCAAGCAGCACCTGCAACCCCAAGCCAACAATGTAATACTTTACATGTTTGCAACAGTCTTTATTTTGTTCACTTATTAGTGCAGCAATCATTTAAACAACATTCCTATTCTGATACCTTTTTTGTGCATCACTGGTTGTGTACAGCAACCAAATATTAACTAGACGTGACCAGAGACTAGACCGAAGGCCACAAAATAGGGCACTTCTCTGTGCCTATCACAGTGGACTCTTCCCTATGAGGTATGTGATCTCAGTCCGTTTGTTTCCACTTGGGATGGAAATGAGAAGAAATCTGTTTCTTCTCCAGCTTATTGCTTGATAACAGAAGATATTACAAATCTTGCTACTGTCCATCTATCTCTCAAAGATTTCTCATACCTGATTCTAACAAGAAAGAAGCAAAAATGGGCAGGAATGATCCGGCCATTATCTCTGCTTGAAGTCCAATTATTGATTGCTGTAATCAGGCAAAGGGGGCAGTGATTTTGCTGGGTTCCAATCCTTTGGAATAATGTTCTGCATCTCTTCACGTTTTGACAGGTTCATTAGGAGAGCTCTCTGGGGTTGTGCGGTTGGGTGATTGAGACCGTTGCTTCTTTGAAGCCCCACCTGTAGCAGCTTTCTTAGGTGGCACATCGTTGTCATCTTTCATTTTCTTCAACTTGACTGCTTTGGCCTTGATGGGGGAGGAGAAAGTGAGGGAGGTTTTGCTGAACTCCAGGGGGAAAATCCCCACATCGCCATCAAAGCGGTTCTTGGAGATCTGCAGATAGCGCTTGCCTGGGCCTGTCACCAACTTCCTGTCCTGCAGGATCAGCACATTATCTGCTTCTTGGCTGGCCTGCAGAAGAGGCGTAAGAAGAATCCTTTGGCTATAGCAAGGAACAGTGATTTTGTAGTCAACCACTTCCTCACAAACCTTTACTAACAAGTACTCACCTTTGCAGACCCAAATATTGAGGCTGTCTGAAGTTCTCTCTCTTCATCTTCCTTCCTGGGGTGAATGACCAGAGTCACGTGGCAACTGTTTTCTGTGGCAAACTTCCGGAAAGTACCCACGATGTAGTCTTGTACAGCAAGCCTGAAACAGAGTGTGGAGAAATAAAGACAACTTGTTGTTTAAAGCTCAAGGTATTTCAGAAGGCAAGTAAAAAAGTACACAAACACCTAACTGAAGAAAGATAGTTTAGAAACTGGATGTTTTCCACCAACTGTAAATATAGTTGATATAAAGTTTAGCTGAGGTTATGAAGGTGGTGAAATTGATGCTCCAGTAAAGACCAAAGACATGAAGGTCACATGCAGTTATTTAACCTAATAATAATAATAATAATAATAATAATAATAATAATAATAATCCTTTATTTGTACCCCGCTACCATCTCCCCAAGGGACTTGGTGCGGCTTACATGAGGCCGAGCCCAAACACAACAATACAAGCAATAATAACAACAATACAAGCAATTAAAATAAAAGCATAGACAATGAAATATACAACATTATCAATAAGACAACACACAATTAAAAACAGTGGGAAGGCCAAATGTAGTGTTAAAATAGGAAATAATGCTGGGACATGGACGAGAAGGTGATAGTGGTGTTTGTGGAAGAACCTACATCTAGTATCAACTATAGTTAAAGCAAGGTAAATTAGGAAGAAAATATTATATGTTGATGCTATTGTCAGAAAATCAACTAATCATAGGACAAAGTATTAAGGGGTTGTATTGTCAAAGGCTTTCATGGCCGGAATCACTGGGTTGCTGTGAATTTTCCGGGCTGTATGGCCATGTTCCAGAAGCATTCTCTCCTGACGTTTCACCTGCATCTAAGGAAGGCATCCTCAGAGATTGTGACCTTTGAGGTCAGAAAACTCATAGAAACCCTATTAAGGGGTTTTATCTTCTAGAATTAATTTTTTGGATAATGTTTAACAGAAAAATTCTGGAAGTCATATACAGTCCCAAATACATCGGAATAATCTCTCAAGTAATGGCTCATAATAATAATCCATAATGTTGCTAGTATGATTTGTTTCAAAATGGGTATTCTAAGAGCAACTGAAACATTAACTCACAAACTTAGAATGTATTTCTAAGATTCTGAAAATATAATCTCAGGATAAGGCACATGAATAAGTTCTAGAGTCACTGTAACATGCTTTATTACCTACATCAGTCTTCCCTCTTCAAAATATTTGTTGGTTCTGACTCAGGACAAAGATATCATAAGTTTTTCTTGACACAATTGATAAATAGGGGGCTTGATACAGTAAAGGTTTCCCCTGACTTTAAGTCTAGTTATGTCTGACTCTGGGAGGTGGTGCTCAACTCCTTTTCTAAGTCGAAGGGCCAGCGTTGTCTTTAGACACCTCCAGGGTCATGTGGCTAGCATGACTGCATGGAGCGCTGTTACCTCCCCGCAGGAGCAGAACCTATAGATCTACTCACACTTGCATTTTTTCAATCTGCTAGGTTGGGCCTAACAGCAGGAGCTCACCCCACTCCCCAGATTCTAAGTGCCAACCTTTCAGTCAGCTAGTTCAGCAGCTCTGATGTTTAACCCGCTGCACCACCAGGGGGGCCGGAGCTTGATACAGAGTTCCTCTAAGACTGAGAAAGTGTTGCTTGCTCAAGAATAACCAATGAGTTTCCACAGCTGAAGGATTTGAATCAAGTTTGCCATTGCACTAGTTCAAGACTCTTATTCTATGCTGTCTCTTAGACATACGGAGAGCAAAACAAATGTGGTGAAAGCTAAATGAGTAATTAAATGTGATGACTATAACAGAAGACATGTATTAATTCTATAGTGTTAGGTTTACAGAGATGCATTTACAAATGAAATGTTCATGTTAATTAATATTTTAAAATAAGGAAATACTAGGATTTGAAAACAGCTTTGAATTACATTAAACAAGTTTGCTTGTGATATCAGCCAAAATAAAAATTAACCGTGGTTAATGGATGACTCTGGCCTCCAGAAGAGACAAGTGGGGAAATAAGCAAGTAGTCCTACAAATTGTTTTGCAATTGTATAACCATGATAAAACAATTGAGAGCATTATGTCTATTACAGGCTGCAAGAAACCTGATTATGGTTGGACTGATATATAAATCTGAAACATGAACAATGGGATAGATTTCAGGCCATTATACCACAAGGAAAGTGAGAGGCTAAATAAAAGAAGTCGGAAGGACACATTGTTGAAGAGAATTGGTGCAGGAGAAATCCAATCACGTCCTTCTGTTTAAATCAATGGAATGGGAGGGGAATTATTATCCTTCTCCTTTGCAGTCTCCTTACATGATACTGATACTGAATTCTACCCATTGACTATAGGCCAAAAGAAGTATGAAGGTAGAGGGTTTACCTGTCCACTGTGAGCTGCTCCTGACCCATCATGAACTGAAGATTGTCAATAATTATATGGGTGATATCATACATGTACACAGCATGCTTCATGGTATCCATCACTGTCCTGCATGGAATAAAAGGTTCACAAAATCCCTTTAAACAGAAGTGTATATTCCAGTTAAGAAAAGATTGAATTAAAGGTCAATCAAACAAGAGATCTTTGGTAGCTGAGACTTAATATTCCAGTCTGCTCCCCATAAAAATATCTGATATATGAATAAAGGTTTCCCCCTGACATTACATCCAGTCGTGTCCAACTCTGGGGTTGGTGCTCATCTCCATTTCTAAGCTGAAAAGCCGGCATTGTCCTTAGATACCTCCAAGATCATGTGGCCTGCATGACTGCATGGAGCGCCGTTACCTTCCCACCAGAGTGGTACCTATTGATCTACTCACATTTGCATGTTTTCAAACTGCTAGGTTGGCAGAAGCTGGGGTTGACAGAGGAAGCTCACGCCACTTCCCGGATTTGAACCTGTGACCTTTAGGTTAACAAGTTTATCAGCTCAGCGGTTTAACCCACTGCGCCACTGGGGGTTATCTTACAAATTATTCAAGGCACAGATATATAAGCCAACAACTCAGGACAGTGAGTGAGATGCCAACAGTCAGAGGCAATGGTGGTGAGAAACCAGATTAAAAAGTTATAGATTTCCCAAGATATTCAGGTATTACTCATACATTGTGACAGTGTTCTATAGTATATCTCAAGCAAAGAAATAAAGTATAGTTCAGGCGAAGGGATATTGCTTCATTTTTGAAGCTGACAGAAACTGGTAATGACAGCCAACATCGTGTCTTCCCCACAATTCTATCTTAGTGCAAGTGGGCTTGGAATATTAGTCCAAAATGTTGATAGAGTGCAAGTGGCAAATAACACCAAGACCCATTGGTCCCAAGCCTAGCATTGCTTATTTTGATGGCAGAGATTTCCTTGTGTCTCTAGATCTGCAATTCTCAAACTGTGCTTCGATGCCGCTGTCACTACCATGGCATGTGAATAAGAATTTGTTCATTTTTTTAGAAATTAGTTCACACAAACATTCTCCATCCATCTGCCACTGGCCCGGTCCATCTGTCAAATTTTAAAATGCAATGCGGTCCTTGTGCCCAAATGCTTCTTGGGGCTCCACAAGAGACATTTCCTTCAAAAAGGGCTCCACAGCTTTAAAAAAAAACATATATATAGGAAGGAAGCCCCTCAAGGCTTCCTTCCAAATAAACAAGAATGGGATCACCATCCTATCACAGTTGGCTAAAGCATCCCTCCACATCTATCACTTCATCCCACCAAGAAGAAACAACCTATAGCATATAAAGGGAAAATTGTCACCCTCAACTTTACTTGATATTCTGGTGTCCATGGAAAGTCATGAAGTAGAGTGGAAGATCCTCAAATCTGTCTGCCCATTCATCAAATTTGTCCAGCTGCTCCTCCAGTCTCCCCATAGCAAACTGGGTAAGCATGATCTTGGCCAAGCGCACATTGTTGATCTCAAAGCTACCCCACAGAGTGTTCACTCCTTGCATGCAGAGATCTAGGGCATATTCGCTGATGAAGGTTGTCTTCCCACTGCCAGTTGGTCCTATTTCATAGAAAAAATCCAGCATTAATAGACGATAGCTTTTCTTCCAACTTGTATGACAACTTGTTTATCCCTCAGTTTCCATGCAAGCCCTTTTTCTGGGGAGTGGTTTAACAGCATTAATTGCACTCATGTACATTAGACATCCTGTAACTTATCCAATATAAATAACTAAGAAATTAAGTACTGTGCCACTATATTTTTCCTATGTGTGTGCGCGCATGTGCCTTCAAGTCACTTGTCTACATACTTTGATAAATTCAACTTTAGTATAGTTTGGCCTCCATCTTAATAATATGATACAAATCAGACTTAGCAGGACAGAAGGTAAAAGCAAGAACCTAACAAAAGGAATCTAAGAAAAATGGTTGAATATTAGATATTAGAAGTGGTTTAATTCAATTAAAAAGGAAGACAGGACAAGGAGAATCAGGTGGTGTGCAATTTAATGATTGCAAAGTTAAACAATGCTTTTCATTGAGACTTTCCACTTTCCAACAAATCTTTGTCATCATTGTAATTCGGCTTTATGTTACTTTCAGTTTAAATTCAGCCCCAAAGCAAACAAAATTTACCTTAACAACCTTAAACATAATCTTTTTTTTTTATTTATACCCTGCTTTCCTCACAAAACTGGGAGGCAAGGCAGCTTACAAATTTAAAATAAAACATACTACAAATCAACATTAAAACAGAATAAAATATTAGTAATATTTAAAACCATTTAAAATATGCAATTAAAATTAAGAAAAAGCATTTCAAACTGTAAAATCAAAGCCTTTTCTTTAAAAACCTTCAATTGTATGAGTAAAAAGCTGCGTACTGATGGAAAGTCAGCAAGGAATAATCCAAATGGAAGTAACAAAAGCTATCATTATGTTAGAACAGCAAATGGCAGATACCATTAGTACCAATCAAATGCTAAGATAAAAACAACCAAGAAACAATGAGCAGATGTAGGTTAGACTATCAAAGGGAGACTGCCTAAGCCACTTTCCAAGAAAGAAAGAAGAAATTCCAATTATGATGACCAAAGATGGTTTTTGGTCCTTGGCACGCTGGAAAAAACATAAATGCTGACCTGATCCCGCACATGAGATAACTGATAAGCACTGGGTTAGACCGAACTTTAATGCAATATACTTTTAGGTTCCTGTGTATGCAAAATAACTGTCTACTTAGAAGAACGACCCTATAGTTTCCTGAGCCCTGCAGCCTTCTATAGAACAGTGAAAAATACAGTTAGTCACCTGTGAAGACAGTAAGTTCTCCTTTGCGGTGGCCCTTGAGGAGCTTGTTTAGGTCAGGGAAACGTGCCCATTTGACTCCAGCTACTTGCTCCACGTTGGCCAGCTCCCCTAAAACCTCTTCTCGTAGCTGGCGAAACGAAATGATGGCCTTGTGGCCAGCTGGTAAGGCTGAGCGCAGAATTTTGGTGAGGTTCAAGCCGCGGTTGAAGGCCTCTAAGGGCTGGAGTTGCTGGTCACTTGGCTGCACCAAAGAACAACGCTTAGGGTTCAGTTTGCGGGCAAAGAGCTTGGCTGCTTCCCAGGAGCGAAGATCCTCACCTAACCAGAGAGTGATCCGCTTGAACTGTTCTAGGTAGGGAAGGAGGCCCGGGGGGAGGCACGAAATCCCACGGGGCAGGGCCAAAGTAGGTAGCCCAGTCGCTTGGTGTAATGCTAGAGTATCTAGCTCCCGGCCAGTCAGTACCACTTCTGTATCACGTCGGCCAATCAACGGTAGCCCAAAAAGGTTGTGATAGGCACTTGGGCGAGGTAGGGTATTCTCCACATAATGTGTTTTCTCTCCTTGGTGCTCAACTCCCAGCAGTTTTAACCCTTTCAGGCTAGTGCCCCGAGGGCTGAACCATGGGAACACCAAAGCTTGAGCAGTCCGTAAGTAACGCACACCAAACCGTTTGAGAGTCACATTTGAGACACTGGAAATTCCAAACTTGGCTTTGGCTTCCTGGGTCTCCTGCTCATCAAGAAGCTCCCAAAGAGGCATGGCTCGATCCCAGATATGCCTGGCATCTTCCCCAGTGTGATCTCTCGGCTGATCAATAGCCTCCAAGCTCCCCACAGCCACCCCTTTATGCCGCAACTCTACACTGGCCTGGAAGTCCTGCCAGTTGCCTTCAATCAAGCTGGCAGTGCAGACAAAGCGCCCAGTGGTCTTATCAATAAAGAGAGTGTAGCTGTGGCGAACCTGCTGCTGCTCCTCGACAAAAACACTGGGCACATGGATGCAGCTATAGCCATCATGGAAAGGGATGTCCTGTGCCCGGAGATACTGGCGGATCTCTGTGACTGAAGCAGGGGGGACCGGCCCATCTGGTGAGGGAAGCGTCTCCTTCTTATAGTGTCTGCAAGGATGGTGGCCTGAAAGGACCCGTCTCCCCCGAAGGCACCAGTAGTGCAAGGAACGTACTGGGAGCCACATTTCTCCTAGAAAAGTGACAAAATAGTGAGCAGCCTACCCACACTCCAAGCTGGCATACTGAGCTTCGCTCTACCAACTCCAAGATCTGTGATCCTATTTCAACTTGCCAGAGCCAGAAGATCCTTGCCTTTCTCTGAAGCTTTCTCTCTATAAACTCCAATATTGTCAATCTTATTGCAACTTGCCAGACGCCAAAGACCCTTCCCTTGCTCTGGAGCCTTGTCTCTACAAAGTCCTATATCGTCAACTTGCCAGACCTCAAAGACCCATAACAACCTTATTCCCAAGCATAAACCGTTGGTAGCTTTCTCGTCTCTACAAGCTCCAATATCTGTGATCTTATTGCAACTTGCCATAGGAAGTTGCAATAGGAAAAGACCCTCCCTTTGCTCTGCGGCCTCCTTGTCTCTACAAACTTCAAAATCAGTGACTTTATTTCAATTTGCCAGACCTCAAAGACCCATAACAACCTTATTCCCAAACATAAACTGTTGGTAGCTTTCTGGTCTCTACAAGCTCCAATATCTGTGACCTTATTGCAACTTGCCAGACCCCAAAGACCCTTCCTTTGCTCTGGAGCCTTCTTGTGTCTACAAACTTCAAGATCAGTGACTTTATTTTAATTTGCCAGACCTCAAAGACCCATTTGCTAGACCCTAAAGACCCTTCCTTTGTTCTGTAGTCTCCTTGTCTCTACGAACTTCAAAATCAGTGACTATTTTAATTTTCCAGACCTCAAAGACCCATAACAACCTTGTTCCCAACCATAAACCCTTCCCTTGCTTTGGGGCTTTACAAAAAATCTATAAAAACTGAAATCTGTCACAATTTGCCAGACGCCAAAAACCTATAACTACATCATTCCCAAACACCACTTCACCTTCCTCTCAAATAACCCAAACTACCCAGAAACTGGTCATCTCATCTATCTCTTCTCCTATTGCTTCCTTCCAGTGGAAACACAGCCAGCTCTCAAGAGCCCTTGCATTGATCTGTGCCCCCTTTAAAGCATGCCCAAGACGCCTGCAACACATCATCCGGAGAGGTCCACCCGGCCTCTATTTAAGTCCAGAGCAGCCCCCGCAGACCCCCTGCCCCACGTGCAGCTGCCAGGAGCGCGCCAAGGGCTCAACCCCGGAATCACAACAACGCCATGTCGACGTCACTTCCGGAAACCCGCCTCCAAAAGCTTCAAAGTGTTCACCAGGCCTGAATTTGGGCCCTTCAGGTGTTTTGGACTTCAACTCCCACAATTCTTAAGTCCAAAACACATAGAGGGCTGAAGTTTGCCTAGGCCTTCCCTAAATCCCAATCCCTTTGAGCGCCTCCAGACATTAAGTCCAGTCGTGTCCGGCTCTGGGGGTTGGTGCTCATCTCCATTTCTAAGCCGAAGAGCCGGCGTTGTCCGTAGACACCTCTAAGGTCATGTGGCTGGCATGATGGAGTGCCGTTACCTTCCCACCAGAGCGGGGCCTATTGATCTACTCACATTTGCATGTTTTCGAACTGCTAGGTTGGCAGAAGCTGGGGCTAACAGCGGGAGCTCACTCCGCTCCCCGGATTCGAACCCGCGACCTTTCGGACAGCAAGTTCAGCAGCTCAGCGCTCTAACCCACTGCGCCACCGGGGGCTCTAGACCACAAAGAGGGGGATATATATATATATATATATATGCCCTTCATCACATTGCGGCCTACAAATCCCAGAATTCCTGGACATTGAATGAGCTGGCAAAGGCTTCTGGGAGTTGGAGGCCCAGGCAGTGAGGCAGTGGAGGGCGGAGTCTAGAGGCTGCGTGTGAGGAGGCGGGGCTTGTGGGCTCGTTCCGTGATGTCACCGCGCACGTCGTTGTTGTTGTTGCTCCCATGACGGCTCTGTGTATATATACAGCGGCCTGTCATGGCAGCAGCAGCGGCGGTGACGTCACTGCTCGAGCCCCGTCTCCTCCTCGCACGCGAGGCCCCTCTGAGGAGAAGGGGCGGAGCCATTGACTCCGCCCCTTCTCCTCAGAAGTGCCTCGCGTGCGAGGAGGAGGCGGGGCTAGAGCAGTGACGTCACTGCTGCGCGCCGCTGCTGCTGTTCCTGCCGCCATGACAGGCCGAGGCACCGCTAGCCGCTTCCTCTGCAGCGTCCTGCGGAACGGCGTGGGCCGCTACGTGGGCCAGTTGCAGCGCCTCACTCTCACCCTCAGCAGGGACTCCCAGAGCGCACGAGGGGCCAGGTGGGTCTCCCTCTCTTAAGGCCCAGCTGCTCTTTAACTCGGATTGGTACCCCTTGAACTGCCCTGGCTCAGTGCTGTGGGATCCTGGGAGTTGTCGTCTTTTGAGGCTACCACTACTCTTTGGCATAGAAGGCTCCCAGGATGCCTTAGCATTGAGACATGGCAAAGTCAATTCATTAACACTCTCCAACTCGATTTTTTTGTTCCTGGGTTATACATGCAATTTCCTAATTGGTTCTATGATTTCAAAGAAAGCATAGGGAAATTTTATGAAACTGCAAAAACTTTTGTTTTTGCGGGAGGGATAGCCTTCAGCCGATTTTGCTATACTTTTTCCCCCAATGCATATCTCATAGAGTTCTAACCAATTCAACATAGTTTGTGGCAGCCACATTAAACCATTTTTGTGTGTGTCAGGAGCGACTTGAGAAACTACAAGTCGCTTCTGGTGTGTGAGAATTTGCCCAGGTGTTTTGATGTTTTACTATCCTAGCTGGCACAGGTGGCGCAGTGGGTTAAACCCTTGTGCCGGCAAGACTGAAGATGCGACAGGTCGCAGGTTCGAATCCGAGAGTGCAAATAAGCTCCCACTGTCAGCTCCAGCTCCTCATGCAGGGACATGAGAGAAGCCTCCCACAAGGATGATAAAACATCCAGGGGTCCCCTCGGCAATGTCCTTGCAGATGGCCAATTCTCTCGAATCTGGGGAGAGTGTGGATGAGCTCCCTCTGTTAGCTCCAGCTCCTCATGTGGGGTCATGAGGGAAGCCTCCCACAAGGATGATAAAACATCCGGGCGTCCCCTGGGCAACGTCCTTGCAGACAGCCAATTCTCTCACACCAGAAGCAACTTGCAGTTTCTCAAGTCACTCCTGACACACACACACACACAACATCCTTGTGGGAGGCATCTCTCACGTACCCACATAAGGAGCTGGAGCTGACAGAGGGAGCTCATTTGTGCTCTACCTGAATTCAAACCTACGACCTGTCTGTCTTCAGTCCTGCTGGCTCAAGGATTTAACCCATTACGCCACTGGGGGTTCCTAAAAAAAGCAACAATGTTTCTGGAGTGTAACAACTTCTTTCAAAATTAAGCACCACACAGTTATTCAGGAAAGAACATTTTCAAACCAGAAACACAAATATTGTGGGAGTTTTTCTTTTTGTACTGTGGTTGTTTTATACCAGGCATGGGGAAACTTCGGCCCTCCAGGTGTTTTGGACTTCAACTTCCACAATTCCTAACAGCCAAAAACACCTAGAGGGCCAAAGCATATGAAGTTTTGGCCATGCCTGTTTTATATCTTGTATGTCCATTATTTATAGAATATAACAAGATCCCATCTACTGGAACTTCCGAGTAATGGCAGGTACAGGGTGAGGCAGCATAACTTCCTTTTTTCAAAACTTAATAAAACCCATTGTATGAATCAGGATTTTTTTTTATTTATAATGTAGGTGCATACCTAAAGTTTTGTTTTACGTAGTTTTGAAGATCAAATTAGGTAGATGATGTCCCCCATTCCCCATACACTGAGTAAACCGATTTCTGGCGTTTGTCATGACTCTTGCCAGCATAGCAGGCATTATGTTGGCAATTTCTTCCTGGATGTTGGTCTTCAAATCTTGTAGGGTCCTTGGACGGTTCATATAAACACGGGATTTCAAAAAACCCATAGAAAAAAATCACAAGGGGCCAAATCTGGAGAGCGGACCGGCCACTCCAAATTCGTTCAAAAAGTAGGCCTCAACGGCAAAAGCACGCTCCTCACTATTCCAATGCATGATGGCGACTAAACTGTGTCAGGACAAAACTGTATACTCCCGCATCTTGAATGAGACCACTAGTGCTCCGCTACGTCTTCAATTGACTGAATGGTGCGCATTTTTAAAAAGGAAGTTATTCTACCTCACCCTGTACTACTTTGGTAGCATATATCATAGGTTCTTATGAGAGGAACACATGGCAAAATAGAAAGGGATCGCCATCAATGAGGGATGTAGTGTCTCCTTGGGAATCTTGCTTGCTATTTTGAATATAATACAGCTCAAGAACAATAAAGATTGAATGAATTTGTTGTCAAAGGCTTTCATGGCCGGAATGACTGGGTTGCTGCAAGTTTTTTGGGCTGTATAACCTCGCAACTTCTGGGGATGCCTGCCATAGATGCAAGTGAAACATCAGGAGAGAATTTTTCTGGAACATGGCCATATAGCCCAAAAAACCTACAACAACCCATTGAATGGGTTGATGACTCTGAAGATATTTCCACCTTTTCCTTTTGGCATCATAGGCAACATGCTTGCTTATACAGGAAATCCCAAAGTTACAAACCTGATAGGTTCTGTGGGTTTGTTCTTAAATGTAAATTGAATGTGTATGTAACTCCATCCAAATATATGCTTTGGATAGCATAGGGAAAGATGATCACCCCTGTGGTGTTAGTTTTGCTGTCTATGCCCATGTTCAGGTGATTTCACCTAACTTTCTCTGTGAGAATTAGATCTTGAAAAAATGGCTTGTTGTGGCAACAAAGATTGTTGAGAAAGGTTCAGTGGAGACATCTTTTCCTTGTAATAACTCTTTCAGGAGTGAATTTCCCTTCTGACAGGTAGATTTCTCTCACTGTTGTCTCACCCCCATTCTTAACTATGAGTCATTTGTAAATCAGATCTTTGTAACTCAGTACTGACCATACAGAACAATCTGTGCACCTTTGTTATACTTATGTTTATAAACATTAACTGTCCTGATAAGTAACTCATTTGCTTTCTGCTGATGGCATATGATGGTTTGTTGTTGTTGTTGTTGTTGTTTATATCCCAATTTCCTCTTCTAAAGGAGACTCAAAACGGCTCACAATGCGAAAAATAATACAATGTAAAACTTGCAAGAAAATGATTACACTTTCTTTGATCATGACACAACGTTCTAGATATGGAAATTATTATCCTATATTGGGGATGAGGAAAATTTTGTCTGAAAACTGTGTTTCATAGCCCATAGACCAAGCATGGGTTTAAATTGTCCCCCCAAAACACCCATAACAATTTTTTAAAAACATGATAACATTTCAAAGTATGTCAGCATTATAAATGTAGCACCCAGTAGGGAGCAGTGTTAGAAAATGTCCCTTTCCATGTCTCCAGCCTTCTACTCGTAGGTTGGATCTACACTGCAGTATAATGGAATTTGAAATTGCATTGTATGGTCAGTGTAGACCCATATATTGCAGTTCAATACAGTTAAACTGTGTGTCTGCACTGATCATATAATTCAGGTTCAAACTGCATTATATGGCAGTGTAGACCAGCTTTAGATAAATTCTAAAATAAAGGTCTATTCTATTTTAGCTGTTCTCAAATTCCGCATATAATTTTTGAGAACAGATTATCAAGAAGATAATCTGTCTAACCTGCAGTTTATGAAGATCAAATGCAGGTCAGAGAATTGCTGCTGTTAAAAGACCACACTTGCCTCTGATGTTCAGCATTTTCACAGAATTTGTACATAGGAAGCACTTTTGTGCTCTTAAAGGAAGACTGTGGCCTAAATCCAATTGTTAGAGCCAACTAAAGTAAACCCATTAAATTAATGACGTTTAGGTAAGTTTGGCTACCTTCAGCAATTGATTTTGCTGCCTCCAGCAATTGATTTTGTGGGTGAAACTTGTTGGGACCAGCAATTGGATTTAGCCCAATGTAATAGCAAAGCCTTACTCAGTGTGTTAATTTTATTACTCAGTAGATTATTAGCTGATGTAGTAGGTCTCTTCAATTGTTAGGGCCAGAACCATTAAAGCCTCACTCCTCACTTGGTTACTTAACATAAATCTCTGGACCCTTTCTGAACTCAAGATGATTTTTTTAATGACTCGATTGGATTTTGATTTGTTCCAGAGAATACATTGAAGAAAAAGTGGTGGACTTTGCCAGACAGAACCCTGGAATTGTGATCTATGTGACTCCAAAGAAAAGCCGGGTCCCCACAGTGGTTGCTGAATACTGTGAGTACAGAAAATGCTACCACCTAATAGAAGCAGGCAGGAAGAGAAATGTTACTTTTGATTACACTATGCAACACATTTTTTGTTCCTGGGTTATAAATGTCATTTCCTAATTGGGTCTATCATGGAAAAAACCTATTAAACTGCAAAACGTAGTTTTTGCGGGACATCCTGCAACACATTTTGCTAGTTTTTCAGTGAATATCTCATAAGAGTCTCAATCAATTCAACATAGTTTGTGGCAGCCACAAAAATGAAGTTTCTGGAGTATAATACTGTTAAACGAAGTACCACACTATTAAACAGAAATAACACTTTCAAACCAGGAACATTTTTTTTTTGCAAATTTTGTTACATAGTTGATGAAATCTGAACCCAATAGGCAACGAGATGTTTGTTCTGGGGATATTTATAGTCCTTCCAATATTGCTTGGCCAGGAATGATTGGCCAGGAATGAAGGATAATGGGATATACTTCGACATCTATGGATCTGCAACTCCTTGGCCTCAAAATCCTTACTTCCTAGCTATCAGTTACAATAGATGCACACTCATGGACTCCTACATCATATTCACCCAAGCAGTTTTGCATCCTTTTTCCCAAGAGAACAGATTCCAAGCAATAGAGCACACAAGAGAGGCCTAAAGAGAGTCTGGATGCAGCCAGTAAAACAAATTTGCCACCACTCCTCCAGATCCCAACATCTTCCTCTAATAAAAAGATGTGGTTACATACTCCAGTACTTAGAAGCTGCCTTCTTGAATAGAGGAATGTTGCAGTGCTCTTCTGTAGTGTTTGGAATAGGTGGGCATAATTGCATATTACATAAGACTGTGTCACCAACACGATTTCAGCCATGGAAAAAAATCACACACACATAAAATGGCTACTAAAGCAGCTTTGTGGTCAATGAATAAAAACAGGAATCAGAACTGAACAATGCAAAAGTATTGATCCCTTCTTTGACTTTTCCATGTTTTGTGATAGTACAACCTAAAGCTTAATGGATTTAATTGACATTGCTGCAACAAAATGTTCAACATTGTGAACAAGCAAAGCAATTTTGGTAGCAAAAAAAAGGGACAAAGACAATTGGACACATCTTGGTTGTGAAGTGTTTACTCTTTGCTAGGACATACCTCTAGTGAAAGTCTTCAGCAGTCAGGTCAAGTAATAAAATGAATTCACCTATGTGCAACTCCAGATTTGACAGCTATGATTGGTGCTTTACAGAAGTATTTGACCCCTACCACTTTGAATTTTTCCTATTTTTGTTGATTTCAAGTTGTATCTCAACAAAAATAGGAACATGTCAAAGTAGTAGGAGCCAAATACTTTCATAAAGACACAAAAATGTCACCGAAATGTGCAATTTTTTATTCCCCAGAATTCTGTACAGCATAGAAAACTAGGGGATGAGAAAAGATGCAAAAAATTAGACTAACGTCCAGAAAGGCGGTTAGACTAGATTTAGTTGTGAAATTGCCAACTTAAACTCAGAATTATTGCATAGTAAATGGCTGCTTTCTTTCCAAAAAGCATAGCTGAAGTAGGATTTCTTTCTTACCTTGGTCCCAGTATTGGCTTAAAGACTCAGGAATATAGCAGTCTTATAAGAGCTGGATATTAAATTTAGTTGTTGCAGTAGGTTGAAAAAAAAGTCACTTGTATTCAATTTGTGAATTGTACATAGAGTCTTTGTTCAGGAACAGAAATTCCCGAGGAGTTGATTAATAGCAAGATATAATAGGGATTTACAGAAGCTTGAGAACTGTAAATTTAGAAGAGCAAGGTCCAATACCTAGGAGAGTATCTCTAGGCAGAAAAAAGAAGGTGCAGGTTTAATCCAATTTATTCTTTTCCTAGTGAATGGAACCGTGAAGGAGGAGACTTTAAACAAGAAGACAGCTGATGAGATTGCGCAGCTCATCCAGAAGCTGGCCGACCAGTCAGGCCTAGAAATCATCCGTATCCGAAAGCCTTTCCATACAGATAACCCCAGCATTCAAGGCCAATGGCACCCATTCACAAACAAACTCAGTTTACTCAATGTCCAGAATGTCAGTCAGCGGTGTCTCCCTTCTGCAGAAAAATAAATCAATATTGATGAAAAGAGTCTATGCATTTAGTGGTGTGAGGAATTATTTGATCCAGAGCAAGATAATAAGTCTTCATTAAGATAAAATATCTTTCTTTCTCTGCAAGGATAATATCCACCACCCTAGGAACAGAACTGTCTTGTACTGTCTGCAAGCTAATGTCTGATGTTGACATGTGTTGCACCAGCTCACTACAGTGTCTGCGTTGCTATATTGAGCAGTTCAGTTGCAGACTTACCTTGAGCAAGGTCTTGAACGGAATTGAGCTGGTTCCTTCTTCAAAAGTGAGAAGATATAAATCAATCAGAACTAGAGAGGCTCTGATCCTCTAGGCTGAGTATGGTTTCTCAATTATATATTGTGATTATGATAATTGCTGGTATTATTAGATTTGGAAGGAACCCCGGTGGCACAATGGCTTAAATTCTTGTGCCAACAGGACTGCTGATTGAAAGGTTGCTGGTTCACATCTGGGGAGCAGGGTGAGCTCCCATCTGTCAGCTCCAGATTCTCATGCAGGGACATGAGAGAAGCCTCCCACAGCATGGTAAAACATCTGGGCATTCCCTGGACAATGTCCTTGAAACCAGCCAATTCTTTCACACCAGAAGCAACTTGCAGTTTCTCAAGTTGCTCCTGTCACACAAAAAAATCCCTAGATTTGGAAATAAAAGAAGTGGAATCACCACAAAGACTCTTGGAACTTTTTTGTTGATACACATGAAGAGTTCAAAGCAGCTCAGCAGAAAACTATTAATATGTGTCTGTTTTCTGGAAGGAGTAAAAACGGTGATCAGCTTTACTGAGTTTCGTAGGAGGGGTGGAAGAAAGCACAATGACATTGGATGTGTCCCAGATTATATGGAGAAGTTCCATACAGTTGCTTCCAAGGCATGTATACACACATATTTGTGTAGCAGTGGATCTCAACCTTAGGACCTCCAGGTGTTTTGGTCTTCAGCTCCCACAATTCCTAACGGCTGGTATGCTAGCTGGGATTTCTGGGAGCTGAAGTCCAAAACAACTGGAGGACCAAAGGCTGGGAACCGCTGCTGTATAATAACCAGGATCTAAAAAAAGAAACAACTGCTGACCTGAGAGGGGAATTTTAAAAAGAAAACTTGCTAATAATGAGCATTTTGGAGTATTGCGCTCGAAAAGGAAGACTCCTGCTGTTGGGTTTCATTCTTGACTGCACAAGTCTCCAGCCCACAATGGTAGTTAGCCTAGATATATTAGAATGAGGGATTCCTTCCCCAAATTCCTTTTGCATGCTTTATCTCAAGAAGGGGCTTAGAAGGTGGGGGTTTGTTTTGCTGATCCTGCATGCCACTATCTCCTCCCCCTTTGAATACTTAGCAATGTGATCTCTTTAGGAAAAGCATAACTTCCTCGTTAAAAGGTATTTGTATTGCCCTGGTGAAGCCATGTGGTCAATTCTCCATTTTTGGCCTCACACTTCTTCCTTTGTTCTGCCAGAGTAAGGAGACATCTTGCCATTGTCCAAGCAAGATGTAGTAGATATAGCTATTTTGTTATTTTTCTTTTTTTTTTCCTTAGAAGGTAGCTCAGAGAAGCTAGTTGGCTCCAAAAATATTTCCTATCCAGAATGGATTCTTTTATATTTAATAAACATATTAGTTTTGAACCTATGAAGTTGTGGATCTGAAATCCTGTTCCATCCTGTTGAATGGAAACCAATCCTTGCTCACTACGTGTAAGTTTCTGCTGGTTATGAAGTGTGCTTCTGCCACTCTGCAATATTTTGTGGAATCGCCCCCAAGTGAGGGTTATTTTTGAACCTAACAGTTCCCGATTCCTAACACCCTCATTTGCTGCAAACCCTGCCACCTTCATAGTATGTCTTACAAAACCATTATGTTTATAAAAATATTATCGGGTGCCAATACAACTTCTAAATCCTAAAGAAAGATTTGGAAGAGAACTACAACAAGGCTGACTTTCTCTTCTTGCTATAACCCAGGTATGGGCAAACTTAGGCCTTCCGGGTGTTTTTGACTTCAACTTCCACAATTCCTAACAGCCTACCAGCTGTTAGGAATTGTGGGAATTGAAGTCCAAAACACCCGGAGGATCAAAGTTTGCCCATACCTGATATAACTCCTTCAAAAAGAAGTGGGAGACCTTTTCTAAAGAGGCAGCTAAGAAAGAAAATGGAGGAGAAAATAGAAGAGAAATGGAAAAGAGAGAATTGGTAAGAGGCCTCCAAAGTTAACTGTTTGCAGGGCTTGGGTTGAGGGTGATGTCTCTGGTCCTGCCCACCCCTAGTGCATAGCTTGCTGAAGATTTCCCATGATAGAATATGCTCCTAAGTCCAGAGGAGATGTTCTACTCATGCTTTTAGTGACAGCTATGAAACAAAAAGAATAGAGTGATAGGAAGTGGCAGCATTCGGCTGGGGAAGCTCTTTTCAGCAGTAACTTGGAAACTTATGTGGTGATTACATACTGCTCTCTGTCACTTAGAATACAGTAAGGCAGTGGTGGAGGAAGAAAGATGCTTTGGCTGAGATCCTGCATTGGGAGGTGTATCATGAAGGTCCATCCTTACAGAGATATAATGCTACTACCCTCTAATCGGACTCAACTTTCTCTCTGTTCCCCCCCCCCCTCACCATTTAGTGGCTGGATGGACAGTAGAGATGTTAGAGAAGCATCTAGTTGTGCTGCTATAATCAGATGCATAGCAATGATCTCTTCTCTATTGGCCACTAAAGGGCCAGGGAGAGAGAATGCAGGAGGAACGTGAGTCCTGTATGGGTTTCGGTCACTGAGGGAAGAAAGTAGTGAATTCCTCTCTCTGCAGTAACTCCAAAACGTTCATTATGCAGGTGTCGCTCACAGGATACTAGTCATGGTCTCATTTGTTTAGCACAGAAGCAAACAAGAAATTAAATAGGTAAAGAGCTACCCTGCTTTCGAAATCTCTGGAATATTGCAAGTTATGTTCTCCTGGGTCTTTTTGAAACCCTTTTTTTTTTAGCTTCAAAATTAAAGAAGTTAAAAACATTAAACTAATGTAGAAAGCATGTACTTGGGTCTGAAGCCTCTGAATCGTTGGCTGAATCAAACAACAAAAAAAGTTCAGAAACTAGCTACAAACACGATCTTCAGCATTTGGCTGTGGTTTTTATATGCATCTCTCCAACATCATCTATTAAATACAAGCTAGGAATCATATTTTCTCTCCATGGAGCTGCCGCCATCTCTTAATAGGAAACAGCGGGCAATTTAAATCAATTAATTAGCAATATTGGCAGCAAAGAAAAAAATTACATCCAGCAGCTTGGCAAAAGCAAGTTATATACCTCCTGGGGAAAAAGTTGTTTCATTTGTTATATTTAACAGATGCTTCACGGAAATAAGCATGAAAAGATCTAATCTACTAAGAGGTTGAGAACATGGACTGTATTAAAGCATGGGCTTTGGTGGATAATTTAGTCAAGGATGACCCCCTCCCCCAGGACATCAAGCTGGAAGGATATAATAAGAGTTAAGTCTTGGCCAATTTGCAAAGGGATAATAAAGGTTTTGGAAGACCCATTAGGGTCGTGTTCCCACACCAGGGATAGTTAATCCTATCTCAAGCCATTCTCTCACCCACTGTTCTGACACCTGTTAACTCCTCTCCAATCATTGGACAGAGGGAAATCTACAATGGAGGCAGGTCCCATTGGCTGGGGCGTGCCAAACTCGCACCTCTGCAGGGAGATCTCATTGACGTCACCCAGGCTTGGCCAAGCTTGATTGGCTGCCCCTTGTTACTGCAAAGTAGCAAGGGAACACTGTATCTCAGTTTATATTGGGGGCGGATTACCGCAGGCTGGCAACACTTTCAGCTCAAATTAAATAAATACCTCGGCTTCAACTGGGTGAGATTTATTCTGAAATATTGGTTTCTTTTTCTCACCAGCGGCTTGGATCTCACTATCCATTGCCTTTTAAAATTGCTCGATAACAGATATTATTCCACTTCTTCAGATAAACTGAAAAACAAATGGCATTGTTGAAATACATTTGTCTTGAAGGTGCTACTAAATTCCTTCTAACATTATGGCTGGGAGGCAGGAGTGGGCAAACCTTATAATCCTAAAGTCAGCAGCCCGCAATTGGTGATCTGAATATGGAGCAATTAAAGATCGTAATTCTAGGTTATAAATGTGTAACCAGTGTAAATATCAGACACCACATTATGTGCTTTCAAACTTATATGAGCAGCCATGTAGACTAGCGACCTTTTATCAGAAAATCATGCTAACATTTTATCCAAGTTTCTGTTAGTGAACTTTCACAATATGATCGCAGAAGGACTAAATGTGGCAATCTGAATATGAACCCCATCTCATATTCCAAAGATGTCTTCCTCAGATTCCCACAAGAATAAAAGGGGGGGGGGGGGACGACTTGCAGATGACATCATAGTATCATAATGTGGTACGACCTTAATTGGATTGTAAAGAACTCCAGAAGGACCTTTTAAAGGTGGCCAAATTGGCAAGAAAAAGGCAATGATGAAACAAGGCAGAGTTGAAAAAGTATAACACAGTCCAACCAAAACAATAATAATCTTGTTGTTCTGGTTTTTAGGCCTGTTCCTGGGATTATTTGCAGCGCTGTTTCGGAAAATTACCTTGGATAGACCACATCATCTCTAGTTTCTTAGATATGACTATCGGTTTTCTATGGGCGAGCAGAAGTTCTGTATCTCAAACAGGGGAAACTGATAGTGTTTTTAGAATCAGCAAGGCAAATACCCAGAAATAGGTCTAACATTTGCAGCACCATCAAGTGTGCTGGCCAGTACAATCTATTGGGTATAGATACATACACATGTCATTTTTGGAATCAGCAGGGCAAATATACCCAGAAATACGTCTAACATTCGAGGCACCAAAATGTGTTGGCCAGTATAATCTATTGGGTATAGATATATACATGGGTCTACTCTAAATTGATGCTAACCTAAATAAAATAAAATAAAGTTTTTAACTGTGGTGAC